ATGAGATAACCTTCATGATGATAACCTTCATGATGATGATAACCTTCATGATGATAACTTCATGTGATGATAACCTTCATGATGATAACCTTCATGATGTATGATAAACCTTCAATGATGATAACCTTCATGATGATAACCTTCATGATGATGAAACCTTCATGTGATGATAACCTTCATGATGAACCTTCATGATGATAACCTTCATGATGATGTAACCTTCATGATGATGATAACCTTCATGATGATAACCTTCATGATGATATATGATAACCTTCATGATGATGATAACCTTCATGTGATAACCTTCATGATGATAACCTTCATGATGATGATAACCTTCATGATGATGATAACCTTCGATAAACCTTCATGATGATAACCTTCATGATGATAACCTTCATGATGATGATAACCTTCATGATGATGATAACCTTCATGATGATAACCTTCATGATGATGATAACCTTCATGATGATAACCTTCATGATGAATATGAATAACCTTCATGATGATATATGATAACCTTCATGATGATGATAACCTTCATGATAAACTTGATGATAACCTTCATGATGATAACCTTCATGATGATAACCTTCATGATGATGATAACCTTCATGATGATGATAACCTTCATGATGATGATAACCTTCATGATGATGATAACCTTCATGATGATGATAACCTTCATGATGATGATAACCTTCATGATGATAACCTTCATGGATGATAACCTTCATGATGATGATAACCTTCATGATGATGATAACCTTCATGATGATGATAACCTTCATGATGATAACCTTCATGATGATAACCTTCATGATGATAACCTTCATGATGATAACCTTCATGATGATAACCTTCATGATGATAACCTTCATGATGATAACCTTCATGATGATGATAACCTTCATGATGATGATAACCTTCATGATGATGATAACCTTCATGATGATAACCTTCATGATGATAACCTTCATGATGATAACCTTCATGTGATGATAACCTTCATGATGATGATAACCTTCATGATGATGATAACCTTCATGATGATGATAACCTTCATGATGATAACCTTCATGATGATAACCTTCATGATGATGATAACCTTCATGATGATGATAACCTTCATGATGATGATAACCTTCATGATGATGATAACCTTCATGATGATGATAACCTTCATGATGATAACCTTCATGATGATAACCTTCATGATGAACCTTCAGATGATACCTCATGATAATACCTTCATGTGATGATAACCTTCATGATGAATTGATTAACCTTCATGATGATGATAACCTTCATGATGATGATAACCTTCATGAATGATATGATAACCTTCATGATGATGATAACCTTCATGATGATGATAACCTTCATGATGATGATAACCTTCATGATGATGATAACCTTCATGATGATGATAACCTTCATGATGATAACCTTCATGATGATGATAACCTTCATGATGATGATAACCTTCATGATGATTGATGATAACCTTCATGATGAAACCTTCATGGATGATAACCTTCATGATGATGATAACCTTCATGATGATGATAACCTTCATGATGATGATAACCTTCATGATGATGATAACCTTCATGATGATGATAACCTTCATGTGAATGATAACCTTCATGATGATGATAACCTTCATGGATGATAACCTTCATGATGATAACCTTCATGATGATATAACCTTCATGATGATAACCTTCATGATGATGATAACCTTCATGATGATAACCTTCATGATGATGATAACCTTCATGATGATGATAACCTTCATGATGATAACCTTCATGATGATAACCTTCATGATGATGATAACCTTCATGATGATGATAACCTTCATGATGATGATAACCTTCATGATGATGATAACCTTCATGATGATGATAACCTTCATGATGATAACCTTCATGATGATGATAACCTTCATGATGATGATAACCTTCATGATCTTGATGATAACCTTCATGATGATGATAACCTTCATGATGATGATAACCTTCATGATGATGAAACCTTCATGATGATAACCTTCAGGTATCGATGATGATAACCTTCATGGTGATGATAACCTTCATGGTGATGATAACCTTCATGATGATGATAACCTTCATGATGATGATAACCTTCATGATGATGATAACCTTCATGATGATAACCTTCATGATGATGATAACCTTCATGATGATAACCTTCATGATGATGATAACCTTCATGATGATGATAACCTTCATGATGATGATAACCTTCATGGTGATGATAACCTTCATGATGATGATAACCTTCATGATGATGATAACCTTCATGATGATGATAACCTTCATGATGATGATAACCTTCATGATGATGATAACCTTCATGATGATGATAACCTTCATGATGATGATAACCTTCATGATGATAACCTTCATGATGATGATAACCTTCATGTTGATGATAACCTTCATGATGATGATAACCTTCATGATGATGATAACCTTCATGATGATGATAACCTTCATGATGATGATAACCTTCATGATGATAACCTTCATGATGATAACCTTCATGATGAATAGATGATAACCTTCATGATGATGATAACCTTCATGATGATGATAACCTTCATGATGATGATAACCTTCATGATGATGATAACCTTCATATGATGATAACCTTCATGATGATAACCTTCATGATGATAACCTTCATGATGATAACCTTCATGATGATAACCTTCATGATGATAACCTTCATGATGATGATAACCTTCATGATGATGATAACCTTCATGATGATGATAACCTTCATGATGTATTGATGATAACCTTCATATGATGATAACCTTCATGATGATAACCTTCATGATGATAACCTTCATGATGATGAAACCTTCATGATGATGAATCAGTGATAACCTTCATGTGATGATAACCTTCATGATGATGATAACCTTCATGATGATGAAACCTTCATGATGATAACCTTCATGATGATAACCTTCATGATGATACTGATGAACCTTCATGATGATAACCTTCATGATGATGATAACCTTCATGATGATGATAACCTTCATGATGATGATAACCTTCATGATGATAACCTTCATGATGATGATAACCTTCATGATGATGATAACCTTCATGATGATAACCTTCATGATGATAACCTTCATGATGATGATAACCTTCATGATGATAACCTTCATGATGATGATAACCTTCATGATGATGATAACCTTCATGATGATGATAACCTTCATGATTGATAACCTTCATGATGATAACCTTCATGATGATGATAACCTTCATGATGATAACCTTTATGATGATAACCTTCATGATGATGATAACCTTCATGATGATAACCTTCATGATGATAACCTTCATGATATGATAACCTTCATGATGATGATAACCTTCATGATGATAACCTTCATGATGATAACCTTCATGATGATAACCTTCATGATGATGATAACCTTCATGATGATAACCTTTATGATGATAACCTTCATGATGATGATAACCTTCATGATGATGATAACCTTCATGATGATAAGTAACAGTCACGATGATAACTAACATTCATGGTGATAACTAACCTTCATGATGATAATAACCTTCATGTGATAACTAACCTTCATGTGATAACTAATAACTACCATGGTGATAACTAACCTTCATGGTGATAACTAACCTTCATGGTGATAACTAACCTTCATGGTGATAACTAACCTTCATGGTGATAACTAACCTTCATGGTGATAACTAACCTTCATGGTGATAACTAACCTTCATGGTGATAACTAACCTTCATGGTGATAACTAACCTACATGGTGATAACTAACCTTCATGGTGATAACTAACCTACATGGTGATAACTAACCTACATGGTGATAACTAACCTTCATATAGTGATAACTAACCTCCATGGTGATAACTAACCTTCATGGTGATAACTAACCTCATGGTGAACTACTTAAAACTAACCTCATGGTGATAACTAACCTTCATGGTGATAACTAACCTTCATGGTGATAACTAACCTACATGGTGATAACTAACCTTCATATAGTGATAACTAACCTACATGGTGATAACTAACCTTCATATAGTGATAACTAACCTACATGGTGATAACTAACCTTCATGGTGATAACTAACCTACATGGTGATAACTAACCTACATGGTGATAATTAACCTTCATATAGTGATAACTAACCTACATGGTGATAACTAACCTTCATGGTGATAACTAACCTTCATGGTGATAACTAACCTTCATGGTGATAACTAACCTTCGTGGTGATAACTAACCTTCATGGTGATAACTAACCTTCATGGTGATAACTAACCTTCATAGTGATAACTAACCTTCATGGTGATAACTAACCTTCATGGTGATAACTAACCTACATGGTGATAACTAACCTTCATGGTGATAACTAACCTTCATGGTGATAACTAACCTACATGGTGATAACTAACCTTCATGGTGATAACTAACCTACATGGTGATAACTAACCTTCATGGTGATAACTAACCTTCATGGTGATAACTAACCTTCATGGTGATAACTAACCTTCATGGTGATAACTAACCTACATGGTGATAACTAACCTTCATATAGTGATAACTAACCTCCATGGTGATAACTAACCTTCATGGTGATAACTAACCTTCATGGTGATAACTAACCTTCATGGTGATAACTAACCTTCATGGTGATAACTAACCTACATGGTGAAACTAACCTTCATGGTGATAACTAACCTACATGGTGATAACTAACCTTCATGGTGATAACTAACCTTCATGGTGATAACTAACCTACATGGTGATAACTAACCTTCATGGTGATAACTAACCTACATGGTGATAACTAACCTTCATGGTGATAACTAACCTACTTGGTGATAACTAACCTTCATGGTGATAACTAACCTACATGGTGATAATTTAACTTTAATGGTCAAAACTAACCTTTATGGTGACTTGCAACATCTTGGTGCTTGGTCGTCGTGAAATTAGTTAATATTAGTTATACGAGTCAAGTGTCGGCAGGGAGAGGCAGGTGTTAATTAACACCACGATCAGTGTGTGAGAGGCAGGTGTTTATTCCGTGACCAGTGTGTGAGAGGCAGGTGTTTATACCGTGACCAGTGTGTGAGAGGCAGGTGTTTATACCGTGACCAGTGTGTGAGAGGCAGGTGTTTATACCGTGACCAGTGTGTGAGAGGCAGGTGTTTACACCACGACCAGTGTGTGAGAAGCAGGTGTTTACACCACGACAAGTGTGTGAGAGGCAGGTGTTTACACCACGACCAGTGTGTGAGAAGCAGGTGTTTACACCACGACAAGTGTGTGAGAGGCAGGTGTTTACACCACGACCAGTGTGTGAGAAGCAGGTGTTTACACCACGACAAGTGTGTGAGAGGCAGGTGTTTACACCACGACAAGTGTGTGAGAGGCAGGTGTTTACACCACGACAAGTGTGTGAGAGGCAGGTGTTTACACCACGACAAGTGTGTGAGAGGCAGGTGTTTACACCACGACAAGTGTGTGAGAGGCAGGTGTTTACACCACGACCAGTGTGTGAGAGGCAGGTGTTTACACCACGACCAGTGTGTGAGTGGCAGGTGTTTACACCACGACCAGTGTGTGAGAGGCAGGTGTTTACACCACGACCAGTGTGTGAGAGGCAGGTGTTTACACCACGACCAGTGTGTGAGAGGCAGGTGTTTACACCACGACCAGTGTGTGAGAGGCAGGTGTTTACACCACGACCAGTGTGTGAGAGGCAGGTGTTTACACCACGACCAGTGTGTGGTTACTGACCGTACCCATGTTGGGTCCTTCATTATGCTTCACATCGCTTTCTCTTACCACAAACCGTACAGCTCCCTCCCTCCCTCCCTCCTACCTCGTCCCTCACATCAGTAGCAATGGTTGATCATTTAATAATAATATAATAATCTTAATTACTACAAATACATTAATGACATACCACTTGCCGCTTGTTATGCAGAACATTTCGGGCAAATTAGGTCAGTTTTGTCCCAGGATGAGACCCACACCAATCTACTGACACCCAGGTACCTATTTTACTGATGGGTGAACAGGGACAGCAGGTGTCTTATGGAAACAAGTCGTAATGCTTTTCGGCTGTACCGGGGATCGATCCCCCGGGACCTCAGGGTGTGAGCTGAGCGCGCTACCAATCGAGCTACGGGACACCTAAGTAATGCACTTACATTGTAAGTTGTTGTTGCGCATCGCTGTGTTTTTATAGAGATATCTTTAGAAAATCTAGTTCCCCTGTGTGTGAAAGAGGCCATCAGAGAGAGATGGTAATTCACAAGTAATAGCAACTGTACAACTCTGCTGGAATATTTGCTATTTTCAACTTCTGTATTAAGCCTATGTACAATGGAGAATAAATTCACTATTTTTCTTGTTTCTTTCCATTGTCCTTGTTTCTTTCTCCCATCTCTTCGCTTCTATGATTTTCAATTACTCGGTCATGAAATTTCCACTCTTCATTGTTCCTAAATTCTGCTTATTCTCATGCTTAATGGAATTTCTCTCTCTTCTGTATTTTATTTTTCCATCTGTTTCCAATGTACAATATCTTGATAACATTCTCCCTATTTAGGATATTAAACCACTATGCCTTCAAGCTATTAATCTTCACAGTAATCTGGATCGTATTGTTCTTCCTGGCCCCTCAAGGGAGGTTCCTTGATGCTGGTGAGGGGCTCTTGATCTGGGGAATTGGATCTGTGCTCCAGTTCCTTGAATTGAGCCTGAATACCTTCCATCCCCCCCCCCACAGGTGCTGTATAATCCTATGGGTTTAGCGCTCCCCCATTATTATAATAATAATCTTCCTGGCACTTCATTGCTCCTCCTCTCTCAAATAATTCGGTGGGACTGTCCGCTCTCTCATCTGATATGAATTAAAAATACACAATAATAACAACGCTCTTTATGGTCCTCTGATAAAAATCAATATCCTTGACAGACGCAGTCATGTTAACTCAGTTCTCTTGTATAATATTCTTAATCAGAATCATAGTCGGAGTTTGGTTTCTCTTGATACCTGATTTTATTAATACACTGTTATGTGGCCCAGTCTTGAGTACACTCGTGACTTGATCTTATATTGGCCTCTCCTCAGTTTACTACATTAACAACAAGATCAACAACAAGCATAACTGCAGCTACAATAGCAACAATAACAACAAAAACGACACCAACACTTAAAATAATAAAATTCTTACTCTTACTTCTGCTACGCCTATGAACGAAGGAACAACTCACAGGTAAGACCCACAGGGGGTAAGGGATAAGTGGGGACCAACAAAGAACAAGTCTGTGGAGAAATGTCTTCAGTTGTAGAGAAAGAGCCGGGGCTACACCCAGCAGCCTAGCGTTGTGTGGGTGATGTAGACGAGCAGAGGAAGTGGCTGTACCTGCAGACATTCAGTCGTCTTGGGTAAGTCTTATCTCTGCATTGTAAGACAGCAGACAGGGTCACAGGAGAAGGCAGCTCACGAATAAGGTGTTTATTGCGGCGATATAAAGTAGGTCGTCTTTTGAGGCGCCGTTTTTGAGTTTCTTAGAGGTTGATCTGGTAAGTCAGTAGATTAACATTGTTCTTGGACACTGGCATTTAGTTTGACTCTGTTATTCTCCAACATAGGAAAGACAAGCGTTAATTTTGTCACAGTCATTCTCTAACAGAGGACACTAACGAAGCTCGGTTGATAACGCACTCAGCTCACACACTGAGGTTAATGCTTCGATCCCCGGTACGGGTGGAAACATTGGGGGCGTATTTCCTTAAGACACCTGCTGTCCCTGTTCACCTAGCAGTAAGCACGTACCTGGTTGTTCGTCACCTTACACCTGCTATCCCTGTTCACCTAGTAGTAGGTAGGTATCTGGATGTTAGCCGACTGTGTGGGTTGCATCCTAATTTGCCCGAAATGCTCTACACAATTAGAGGCTGATTGTATAGTATGTCATTGATGTCAACTATGGTCTGTATAAGTTGTATTATGTACTTGAAGAAATAAAGAAATTATTACTCTTTCGTCTGATGGCCAGCCTCACTGCTGAGATATTAAACAATGTACAGTTATAGTTTACTACCGGGTCCTCCTTGCGTCAGGGCATGCAACTGTCTGGAATACAAATTAGTATCCACAGTATTCTGGAATACATTATAACTGACCCACGAATCCACGGTACCCTGCCCAAAATACTTCATATCTGACCCACAAATCCACATTACTTTTTTTTCAGATTTTTATTTAGAGTACATATACAGTAAAACAAAAGAAAACAGTGTCAAGGTACAAAACCAAAGAATGACTTAGGATAAAATAATTTAAACATAACACAGTCGCATGTGCGAAACAGATCTCAAAATATAATTACAAGCGTCAAAAGAAAAATAAACCCCACCCCTAACAACCCACACACAGTCTGAAGGTGACTTATGCAAAAAGATGGAAAACAATTAAAAATAACCGACAGGTTCCTAACTCTGCCTACACGTCCTCCACAATCGAACGTGTTGTTTTAAGATTTACAACCCTAAAATAACTTTAACCAAGAAACCCTAGCAGCATCACAACCTACTGGATACACTGATAGTCCCAAACACTGTAAAAGAAAAACCACCCTAATATACTACACACATCCCAAGGACTGCAAATTGCAGTCAAAATCGCCATTCATGTAACCTACAAGTGAAACGCAGTTCACTGTTACTTAGGTTAAACACAACCATACTTATGCTACAGAACACAAAATGTATACAAACGCTACCTTTGAAAACATGCAAGAGTCACATAAAATATAACAGGACTGCAACAACATCTGACAAACATTACAAGCAGAATATCAACACACAGGATAACCTAAAAATAAAACACATTATAGGTTCCTATGAGCGACACATGTCATAAATAAAAACAGTTACATGACATTGCTACAAGTAGTATAACAGAAAAAGAAAATAAAATAGCAAAAGATACACGTTTGCATGTACATACTAAACACTGTAGAAAAGTAAATCAAAAGATAAACACCAGAAACCACGAAAGCATCATAAAAAAACTAAACAACCAAGAAAAACAAAAGTAGGCATAAGCCCCAGAGGCATTCTGAAAAACCCCTGTTTCCCAGAACCCTGAAGCAAACCGTCTACCAGTTACCCCAATCACACTCCTCTAAAACAGCTTCAATCAAACCAGGGAGTCAGACCCATCAAACATACAGGTCCTAAGTAAAAACCATAGCCCCCGCCCCGTCACACACGCATCTGCCATTCTGCACGCCACAATCACACACACCCCTAAGCCCTTACATCTTGACACATGTATATGCCCCACCCAATCATACCTTAAACACCACTAATACCTAACCTACCAGATAAAAAGACCAAAACTGGGGAGTCCAGCCCTTATCGGGTCTACCCCACCCCCAACCGAAGTAAACCATTCACCGTCAGGCTGTGATATCCCTCAGGAAAGCTGGTCATCCACTTCCTCCCATACATATGCCTATTCCTACAAACTGTCCTGTAGATGTATGCTGCAAGCGCCCTCACCCTACAAACACCCACAACCTCCCTCATACCTCAAGAAACAGACAAAAAATCTGTCATCACATACATGACAGCCCTCCTGACGTCCTTAGGAACCCCGCCTACATCAAAAGTCAAAGCCCTCAGTGACGATATGTTACCCCCCTCCACTAGGCGTAAAACCCTCACTAACCACATCTTTACAATCTCCAAGGATTCACAAAAAATAAACAGCATGGAATGCCGTCTCCTCTTCCCACAGTGCAGACAATTCTCCTCAGCCACATAACCCATCCTACACAACACGGACCATGACGCCAAAATTCCCATAAAAAACCTGTAGACCAGTTCCCGTACCCTTGGTTTCAACCTAAGCTTCTGATAATCCTCTGCCACACCCCACACCTTGCTAACAACAAGGGCGTTCACCACCACCACCCTCTGTTGTAAAGTAACTTCCCCTGAGCCTATCCAAAGCCCTGCCGACAACCACCTCTGAATTCACCTTCTGCGCCTCCTGGACATCTGCCAAGTATACGACCCCACAAATCCTAAGTCTATTCACAACAGACCACCCATACACCTTGCCCAAACACCCCCCCCACCCCACCCAAGAACCTACCTCCAGCAACCTTGACTTCGCTCCATTGACTCTCATTCCTGTTGCCATCCCAAAGAGCTCAATCACTCTTCCCATGTTTCGCAAACCTGCCTCCCCTACCCACCAAAACCATGGTGTCTTCCACATAACCCACAATCCCCACATTGCTAGTTCCCCTCTCACCCATATCCTGCACTCTGCCCTCAATGAGCCCATAAAAGGGATTCTGCATACATGCAAAGAGGATTTGAGACAGCAGACATCCCTGTCTCAAACCCCTCTCCATCCACACCAGCAAACCCAACCTGCTGTTCACCTGAACCCTAACCACGGCCGACGAATACAACACAGTGACCCATCTCACAACCTCCTCCTCAAACCCCTGTTTCCACAAAATAACCCTCAACATCTCCCTATCCTCACAGTCATATGCCTCTTTCCAATCTATCCCCAAGATACCCCCCCCCAACAGTCCTCCAAAAAATCCTGAATTCGTCCATGACCCATGCCAAACTGTCCCCGATGGATAAGCAAACCAATCATCACTCTGTTCATCCTGTTACCTAAGACTTTTGCAAAAAATTTGTAATCCGAACACATAAGAGAAATTGTCGA